AGTGATGATTGTTTAATTAACACTACACTTAATAATAAATATTGTTTTACAATAAAAAAAAAATAAAAAAAAAAAAAGAAATATAAAGTTCCTTTTTACATAGTTAACATAATTATCAAAACATAAGATAACATTTCCTTGAAATCCGATTTTAGTTTTATTTTATCGGAGTACATTTACTATCTATTCCGGATTCATCATTATTTATTTATTTAAACAGGACAGGAGATAATTCTTGTTAAAAAAAAAAAAAAATTTTTTTTTTTTAAGCCCCAATTTCAATAGAAAAAAAAATTATATAATAAAAAATTATCTCCCTCAAATAAAAAATTTACTCAAAAAAAAAAAAAATGTCTTCCCATTGCATGCAGAGTTCAAATGATTCAGAATTGAAAGCGATTACACCCATGTCACCTCCTCTTTCTCCCAAAAAAAATACCCTTACAAGTGCGGCATCAAATGACGAAGATGAATCGAATAATAAATCCCTTGAAGAGCAAGGGCAACAATTACAAGAATCACCGCAGCAGCAGCCTAATTTGGAAACCACCTCAAAAATCGCATTTATTCAAGAAGATTCAAGGACCACAATTCCTCGTAAAAGGTATCGAATGAGACTCTTTGAAGCCCCACCAGAACTCTTGGAATTTATCAAAACTTCCGAAGAGGAGAAAAACAAAGCCGTCATTTCGCCGAATAATAAGCGAACTGCGGTCACCGACATCGTGGGTGGTACAAATGATAGAAATGGTTCCTCATTTGCCACACCCTCGAGTCATAACAAAGGTCGTATGATCATGACGCCAAATACAACAACGGGGCAACAAACAACTCGCAAGATCATTTCCGATAAACGACAAAATCGTTCTAGGAAGAATCCTTATCCAAAGAAGGCACCTTCAAAATCCTCACCAGGGATAACCCTTAAAGTAGACGTTTTTACGCCATTCAAAGAGGATCCGGCGTCGCTTTTGAAGAGTGATGATCCCCCAACGAATTCCAATTCGACGAGCTTGTTATTCAGCGAATTCTCATCATCAGAATCATCACCGCCGCAGAGTCCAAGCCCACAGAGATCACTATCCAAGAAACAAAGGAAACAGCATAAAACAAAGACAAAGCGATCGAAAAATCATATCTCTGAAAGAAAACGCAAGGGAAACAGTCTCGCAAGAGTGATGGCAGATCGTGGCTTAATAGAAACAACTTTTAATCCTGTTTCGACAGTTGCAGGTGAAATTAAACAAATTCGTATCCCACCTCCGCCCCCAATGTTATTTGATGAATTGGTGAAGAGCATTGATCAGTTAGGTCTCACAACAGAATTATTAAGCAAAATAAATCCAAGAATTAACTGGAAAGGACAACCTTTATCGATTTCACATCTTCCGCATTACAATTCTTTACATCCAAAAGAGGCAATTGTGGCTTCGACGCTTCGACTCACACCTGTTCAGTACCTGACGGCAAAGAATACTTTGGTTTCATCTGCCCGAAGGTACATACAAAAATCGCTCCCTTTCCGTAAAAGTGACGCACAGAAACTTCTCAGAATTGATGTGAATAAAGCAAGTAAATTATGGGAATTTTTTATGCAAGTAAAATGGATCTAATGAAGGCTGTTCAGTTTTTTTTTTTTTTTAGTTAAATTTAATTGGCGCAATTTATTTTTTTTTACTCCTTAAATAATACACAAATTTAGCATGAATAAGTTACATTTTTAGAAGTATTTGATAATTTGGCATTTAGATACCTTTACTGTACATATAAGATACATATAAGATTTTTATCATTCTTATAGAGTTAATTATTATTATTTTTTTTTTTATTATATCTATTATGTACATTTTTTTTTTCTTATCTTTCCCAAGAAACAAATAATAAATAATAAAACCGTTGTATAAAATCGAAAAAACTGTCTTCGTTGGATGCAATGATGTGAAATTCAGTCATATAATTATCAGAGTTACGCTTTGTGCCTTAAAAAAAAAGAGAAAGAAAACTTTAAAACCACAATGATTACTCAAGTTCTCGTGATAACCTGGGAACCCCGCCAATAAAAATTGGTCGAATCACTAACCATCTTTGACTTAATTAAAGAAACCCACCACCAAAAGGGACAGCGTTCACCATCATAACTCTCAATATCGTTATAGAGGGTTGATAACAAAAATGGTAAATTCATTACGCCCAAGATCGTTTCTTTTGGTCACGGAATTTAAAATGACCATTATTCAAACAAAAATGATGGATTTTTATTATTAGAAATTAACTCAACCGTCATTAATTACCTAAAATTGGAAATTTCATGTCCAATCGGGAATTTAATATAAAATCAAATGTATCACTTTCAGTAGCACAGCAAGTCTGTAAAAGGTATTGTTTTAAAACTCTGGTAAAAGCTTGCTTCTAATGTTTATTATTTCCATGAAAGCAAATTTTCAATGCCATGAACTTGAATTTACTTGAAACCACGGAATCTGTACGACAATAGTAGGGGAGATTAATATTGTTTGTTGAGCAACAGAAAGCCCACCAAAACATGCTGTTCTTTTTCCTTCGCAACCTCCTTCTACCCCCCCCTTTTTTTTTGTCATTTGCTTGAAAAATCGACCGGGTTTTCCAAATTATTTATTCTCTATCATTCACCAAGTCATCACATCAAGGAAACGATAAAATCAAAAAGAATTAAGGATTTATTTGTATAACGGGGGGGTTTTTTTTTTGATCGGTTTGAGATTTCATTACAAAATTTCCTAATTAGTATATCACAGAGTGTGATACCTTCTAAATTTATACTTGAAGTGAATTCTTTTTTGTTCATCGAAATTTCTCTTAAATGAGATTCATTAATGGAAAATGCCGGTAAATCCCTATTTAGGAACTGATCTTTTTTATGATTCAAATAAAGTTTGATTTGAAATTCTTCCGTGTATGAATTACAACATATCCATTTGCTCATTTGAACAAAAAAAGGAAAAAATCAAAAAAAAAAAATATCCAAATATTTACACAAATTACAAATTCGGATCGTCCACGGGAATTTTATTATTTACTGTTCATCGAAAAAAAAAAAAAAAGAAAAAAGAAAAAAAAAACCCGTGCCCTAAGTCACCGCGCCCTGTAGCATCAAATTTATTTATTTATTTTTTTTTTTTTTTTCCTTTCACTTACGCACCAATTTACATTCCCTCCAAGTTACAAAACCTTACGATACATTCGACCAAAAAAAAAATAAGGTTCCTAAACTTTAATTTTGTTTTCATTGAATTCCAAATTTAGCGTTATTTTCTTTTTCATTTTATTGTTTCTATTAAAACACCCTTTAAGTTTCGTCAATGAGTCCTCAATTAATATTCCCCAACATCAAAACAAACACAAGCCACACAACTTTTTTTGTTATTGTCACACTAAAAGCGTCCATACAAAATTAAAATTACAAAAACCATTCATGAACCTTATTGTAAGGTCAATTGTTGAAAGGGAATACCCATAAATATTTGATTTGAATGATAATTTATTCCTTTTATCGTAAATTAATTGGATTAGTGTTTGTTTATAATACACTTCATTTGGGAATTTGAATGGAAGTTACTGCGCAACCACAGATTACACGATAACACAACTTTGTTCTTTACAGAAAACCAGATCAAGACCAACCACACCCAACATTTTTTTTTTATTTTTTTTATTTTTTTTTTTTAAAAAAAAAGAAATAATTCATTTATTTATATGTATTCGAAAAGAGTGAGAACATCATTCGAAAAAAAAAGGATGATAAAACTATTTTTTTTTTTTTAAAAAAAAAAAAAAGAGAAGTAAATTCCAATGTTCACAACTTGGCTACACCTCCTACATTTTTTAATACAGCCAAACCATTAGCTAAAACGATTACATCTCTTTCCTTAGCTTTAGTATTAAAGATGACATTGGTTTCATTCGGGTTGTCGCCAGGTACTTTCCACATGTATGTTTCCAAGGTATCACCAGGGTAGACGGGGGAGGTAAATCTCACGGAAATACTTTTAAATAATTTGGAATCGTTATTTGCAAGATGTTTAACGATCGCATGCGCCGCAAATCCAAATGAACATAATCCATGCAATATAGGTCTTTCAAAGCCTACTTTTGGCGCAATTGTTGGATCTAACAAGGAAACGAATGAGGTTCGTAATTTAATCATTAATCTTACACATTGAAGTAGGTCAATTTATCACACACACACCTGCATGAAGTGGATTATAATCACTACAAATCAATAAATTAAGTAAGGTTAATAAATCACCAAATTTATCACAAATTAACGGTTATCGTATTTTTTACGGTTTAACTTCAGACTTACCCAGATAATCGATATAATAAAGCTTGATTTGAACCAGTCGGAGAAGCGTCAATGGCATCAGGTTTTTTACCCTTGGGCGGTTGATAACTTGGACCCTTTTGACCTTTTGGACCTCCAAACCCGCCGTAACCAATAATAAAAGATTGGACTGTCATAACGCAATATTCTTTACCAGTTTTTGGATCGATCATAGTGTTTACCCGTTCTAATAACATTCCACTTCCTTTATCATATACCCCATTGACTTTACCATGTATTTCAAATTCACCAGATGTTGGTAATGGATTTAAAATTTCAATAGTTTGTTCTCCATGAATCATGTTTTTGGGGTCCAATTCCGGTAATCCTGGTATTGGGCCACCAGAATTCACGGATTCTGCGAATAAATTTACATCGGACGAATCTCCTTTTAATTCTAATACAACCGGATAGGTTGGAAATGGTGTAAAGTTCTTATCTAAAATTTAAAATCAATAAAAAAACAAGTTTTAATAAACGCTGCTTCATCATCATCATTTTTTTTTTTAAACGAAATGTAAATGTCAATCGAACCTAATTCATAAAGGTAATTTAATTCATCATCTTTAATTCCAATTGATAAAGCATATAAAATAAGATCTCGTTTATTATACGAAACCTGTGAACATGAACATGTAATTTATCTCAAATTTAAGTCAAAGTGCGCTCTTAATCGATCTACCTTTTGCGGCGGAAATCTATGCCCGACAGCTTTATTAACGTCAACCGAAATTTTAGACATGATTCCAAGAAAAAAAAAACGAATTCGTGAGAAGATTTCTTTTTCCCAATTTCCATATTTAACCTACATGATGAGATCTATACTTTAAGTGGAAAATTGCTTACTCACTTTTATTGATGATTACATAATCCAAGAAACATTCACCGTTTCGTCATGCTTTCCGCAGCATCGGTTTCCGCAGTATTAAACGTTTTTGAGTAACAAAAGTTGTTGCCATTTAGTACTGTGTTTGTTAAAAAAAGGGGGAGGGTGAGAGATCGGTAAATTTATTCAATGATGATGATTTACTTAATTCTTTGTTAAGAGACAAAAAGAAAAAAAGGAAAAAAAGAAAAAATGTACAGAGACAAAGAAAATTGAAAACAACAAGCAAATGGGCTTGATTTCAAGATTTTAAATTTATCTTTGTATTCTCAACAATATAATATATATAATATGTGTACTCTAGATTGTTTCCGAATTTATTTATTTTTTTTTTAAAAAAAAACAAAGTAATCTGCACGTGGACCATTAACATTGTAAATCTTTTTTTTTTAAAAAAAAAAGAGTGTTGCCGCAGTATAAGCTTTGCGAAATATTTTGAGCAAGGTTTCTTCTTTCTTTTTTTTTTTTTTTTTTAAAAAAAAAAAAAATTATATACATACAAATAGAATCAAATAAAAATAATAAGTAAATAATAAGAAAATAATAAGAAATAATAATAATAATAATAAGAAAATCTCCCCTAATTAATTAATTGCATTTAATAGAGTCATGGGTCGGTTTTAAGTTGTAACTTAAAAAAAACAATATCCATCAATCATCATGAAATTTGAATGCACACAAAATATTTCAAATACGACGAGAAAACAATTTCAAACAAGTGTTCAAAAAGTACATTTACAATAAAAGATATCGAAATACAAATTTAGTCAAAGTTAATAGAGAAGTGGGATCATTGGAGAAACACAACGGATTGCCAAATTACATTTAATCATTCATTAATTTTATTTTGAACAAATTTTACAGCAAGAAAAGGATTATGATAATTGAAATGTAACGAATGGCAAGAAAAAAACAAATTACGATGTGAATGGACGATTTGAGGAATTTCTTTTAATGCATGATAGGCCAAAAAATATTCGGTGGATGATAAAATAAGGAGCAACTTCCAAATATATGATTAAAATGACATCAAATATTTTTATTTTATTTACTTTAAAGTACATTGAACATCATTAAATGTAATAATATTTCGTAAACTGCGGTAAATAAAATGTAACCGAAAAACTTATGTTCTCTGTGCTCCGCATGGACTAGTGAAATAATTTACAAACATATTACATGAATAATAATAAATGCATTGAATGTAGGTGAGTACCATTAACGGGAATAAACAAATAATTTTATTTTAAGCATTTAATTACATTCATAGTTTAAACCTTCCTTTTCTAATCTTCTAAATAAACAAAAAAGTTGAACGTATTTGTGGCTTAAGAAGGTTTGAGGCGCAAGGGTTTTTGCTGTGCCAAGGAGTTTAATAATATGTTCGGCTATTACCTAGCTGCGCATGAAGAGGAAAACACATTCAAGGAGATCTCCACGTAAACAAATTAAGGGTGACTTACGGTACAGGCCCCTTTTTCCTTGTTTGGATATTAAGTTCAATAAAGGCGATTGGTTCCTTTCAACTTTTTAAATTTTTATTTGTTTTTTTTTTTTTTTTTTTTCCTTAAAAATTAATGACTAAAAAAGGTATTAATCATTTATTCATTTTTTTCCTAAACAAGTCGCCTGATTTTCTTTCGTCGTACATTTCTCGATTTATTTATCAATAAAGATGTTAGATTAAATAAGCGACAAAAAAAAAAGAGAACAAATCAATCTATTTTTACATTAAAAATTTTTTTTTTTTTTTTTTTTTTCCTGATAAAAATATTTACATGGTGATAATCTTACTTTATTGACTGCATTAATGATCAATGGGTGAATCCAATAAAGAAATTGCCAAGATAATGAAAAATATTTTTCTCGCGCCCGACATATTCCACATAAATCAATTAGATTTATACGCGAAAAAATCAAAAAAAAAAAAAAAAAAAAAAATACAAAATTTCTGTTTAGAAAATTCATGTTACACTGCGCGTCCTGGTGATTTATTAAATTATATTAACCGTTATGTAAAAGCATTTGTATCATAATTACATAAAGCACATGATATTTAACGCAACCGAGGTGCTCGATATTTTTAATGTTAGTTTACGCGTTATTATATTTGACTAGCATGATTTGTACGAAAAAAGAAGGTAATTTCGGAAGCCAAATTCCTTAATATGGTTTAACTGGTATCATTTTAAAAAGAGGGTCAAATAAATCCTTCGCGTTCGGTTTCATCATAGTAATATCCAGTAAAATCCTCCATCATTTTTTTTTATCTCTTTCAAATCAGGTATAAAATTTCAAATGTACAACGATAACTCGGTTCTTTTGCTCTTTTAGACCCTAAATTAATATCGTACAATTTCAAAAAAATCAAAACTTTTTTGGATGATAATAATAGGAGGAGACATAACATAAATAATTTTAGAAACGAATTAAATCCTTTTGAAATCCGTATCTGGAAAATTAAATGATGCATTTGTTCCTACGAAATTAGAAAACAAACGATGGAGAACAATTACTAACGAGTGCGCACTCAAACAAGTTTTGGAAATGATTAACCAAATTAATCCATATGAAAATTCAAAATTGACAAATTCCTAAAGTTCATCCCGAAGCGAAGCCTTTTGGATATAACATTTTCCAGGGATAATCACATGTTCGGAACTACTTCCATTTATAATTGGTTGCCTCCGGGTGATCGATCTTTGACTGTGCGATCACATGCCCGTTATAAATTACATTACAGTTCCAAGTTCAACAGGATAATAGGTATTTGGTATCTAACCATTAATTCCTTCTCTTATCTATATCAGATCTTACAAAATCCTTATAATTCAAACAAAAAGTACGCCAATAATGAATCGTACCATTTTCAAACAAGTGCTTTGAAACTTTTACGTGTTATATTTTATGGATAACCTGATATGGTGTGTTATATTGTTGATCAAGGGTTCTTGGATTTCGGAATTTCCCGAAACACTTTTGATTTTCTTCACAGATAACCACGATGACTTTGATACCTTTTATTTATAATGTACGGAATAATGTTTTCACCCAAATATTATGAGATATACCTGACCTTATCGATTAAAGGAACATGTTAATTAACGTGTATAAAAAAAAATTACTAATAAACGAATCATTTGATCAACGCCAAGAAATGAAAAAGAAAATGCAGTTTTAGCATAATTATTTTGGTAATTGCCAAGACATTGAATCGATCTCTGGGTAAAAGTTTTTTTTTTGAAAATACTTATCATCTTCATGTGATTTATCTGTAAAATATATTATCTGTAATCAGGTGATTTATTTTCAATTTCAGTAATATCGAAAAATACTCAAGGTCGATTAAAATAAAGCACAGTATCAAATTACATGGACATTGAAAGCGCATTCTCTAAAAATGAATAAATAGATACTTATAAATCCTTCTTTATTCCTTTATTAATTAAAAAAATATTGATTTATCTGCGGAACCGTTGATGACGTGTGTAAAATAAATTCATTCAACCGAGATCATTCATAAGGACAAGGTAGTCTCGTTATAATGAGTCATATTTCTTCATTTGCTATATAGCATTTCGAAAAATGATTTATATATCCTTCAACTTATCGTTTCATAAACTTTAATATAAATGTCCATAAAAGAACATTTGCCAATATCAACATTTACAGATAATCGTGGCGAGTCGATTCAAAATGGTGTTAATGAGTCAGATGGATCTAATTTAAATTTTGAAGTCGAGTCTATCATTGACCACTGTGTTAGATCGAATGTAAGTTTATTAGATTGTTAGGTTTAGTTGCCTTAACAGTATTCATGAATTGTCCTATTTAATTAGGATGGTGTCGAATATTTGCTCAAATGGAAAGGTTTTAGTGAAAACGAAAATAGTTGGGTTAGCGAAGAAGACATGTATGTTATTTAACTTTTATCGAAAATTAAACATAAATTCTAATACATTAAACGTACTTTATTTTCAAAGGAACGCACCAGTTTTGACCAGAATGTATTGGTCAAATAAGGATATCTCTAAAATAAGAGGAAGTCCTAATAGAGATTGTCAATCCCAAGAATCCGGTTCAGGTGTGACCCGTACCATTCAAGAAGCCAACGGTTCGAATGTTAAAGATGATGACATTCACATGATCAATGGCGACGATACTGATGAAAGTTGTGAAATTAACATTAATGAAATTCCTAAATGGTTGAAAATTATTGATGAAGACTGTGAAAATACAAATTATTATTTTAAACCAAATGATCACGGTAGTTGGGAAAATCATGCTACTATTTTGAATATTGTACGTGAAACTGATGCTGGTGATAATTATGTTCATATAAAATGGTAAGTTTGCGCCATCAATTCTTTTGGTGTTTTCGTGAGATATACTCATTCATTTTATTTATAAATGAAGGCCTGATGGAACTGACGGCTATTTTATTACAAGCGAAGTATACCAAAAATGTCCTTTGAAGGTATGAAATATAAAATACAGTCTTGATTTTATTACTGTTCTTTTGTTAATTGGGTATTAAATTTTCTTTTAGATGATCCAATTTTATGAGCGACATCTCGTGTTTAATGTGTAGATATTTTTTTTTTTATTAAAATTTTTCCTGATTTCAAAATGGGTTAATAGCTCTTATTTTCTTGCCTAAGCTTTTTTTTTTTTCAAATCACATTTTTCATGAATGTTTATACCGAATATTATTTTTTTTAAAAAAGCATCCGTATATAAACGCGAATTAAAAGATTCTTTGATCAGAGAATATGTTTCTCCAATAATCCGTAATTTTAATGTTAATAATGAATTTTCTATCGGTAAATATACCATTATAAAGCTCGATTAATTTGATCTTGAAATATTAAATCAGTTTTTAAATATACGTTTGTTATTATATTTCTGACTCAAAGGTTGAAAATTGTTATTTTTGGCAGAAGTTATTGGCGGTTTTTTAAGTACTTATGGATTATAAACATAAAAGTAATAAGTTGATGGATATTTAGATTAAATTAACAAATATATAGTACCATTCAATATTGTACTTAAACAATCTATGCTTTAAAACATGTCCTATTATTTGAATCATAAGAAGACAAGTTAGTAATAATAAAAATAAAAAAATGATAAATAATAAAAATGATAAAAATGATAAAGCAATAAATATTTTTATTAATTTTGTTATTTTGCTAACTTTTACATTTTATAATATAATATTTATTCCTTAAACTGTAGAGAAAACAAATTTGTCTGTTTATTTTTAATAAATTTCCTTTTGATTGACTTTATAAAAAATTAAAAAACTTTTTTATAATTTTTATTAATTCAAATTAAATAAATTTTTAAATTTAAAATGTATTTTAATAAAATTAATAAAAATATATAAATCAATTTTTTTTTAAACTATCAAATTATATATATAATAAAGAAATTATTAATGATATCATTATAAAACTTAGCTATATGTAATAAGTGATAAACCAATATAGAAAGTACTATAATCATTATAAGGGAAAATGTTAAAAAAAAAAAATAAAATTTGCAAAAAAACCATTAATTTGCAAATTACAACTTTTAAAATTCATTCCAGTTATTATAATTATCTTCATCATCCTTTCATTTTTCAAGTAATTTATTATCTCTATCATTTTCATTAAAATTTTCATTATTTTCTATAAAAAGATTATCATAATTAAAGATTTCATCATTTTCTATACCATCTGTTTTAATTGATATTTCACAATACTTAAATATTTTACAAATTAAATTTAATTAGATTTTTTATTCATTCTCTACCCATAAACATATCAAAAAATATTGATTCATTTAACTAAAATTAATTTATGAACTTCATTTGTCATCAGTTATTATAAAATTTGTGAATCTGTAAATAAAATTATGTGATAATTTAAATAATTATTATTTAATAATTTAATAATGATATCTATAATATATTATAAATATAAATAATACTTATATAAGATTTAAAACTTTATTAATTGTTATATCAAGTAGTTGTAGCTTAAAC